CTCCTCCTCATGCTTCACGATCCTGATAATGCTACTATTATCAACTTCTGCTACAACCTTTTAGTATCCAGAGTTCCAAGCAAGTATTAGGTTTCGGAATAACCTTTTGTTCCAGTGATTGAACAAATTCCTATGTTCATTGTGAAACCACCGAGCCATCGACCAGTGTAATCTCAGCGACTCCTCTAGCACTCACCATCCCCGAGTGGCTACTAAAACTACCATCTGAATTCACCTTCACCCAATTTTTTGGAAATTATTAATCGAGACTATAAACGCATTTTTATGGTGATAAGCAAATGCAGGTTCTTAAAGGATGTGGCAATTGAACATTTTAATTCACATTAGTGCACATGATCCCTGTTTTGTAATATTTTTTGTATTATACATAATGTTATACTAATTAAATGATTGACAGCTACAGTCATTAGTGGAACTATTTGGACCAGTGATTAGACACGCGTTCATCATTACCTTGTATTATAGGGAGTGAAAGGAAATTTCACCCAACGTCATTTGTGATTTCCCACATTATTGAAAGGAAGTGCACACTTTATACCAAGTGATGGAGGCAAAAGACTTATAAAATATTAGGGTTTATTTTATGGACATTTTGGTCATTTTATATAGATCTATTAGGGTTTCATTTTATTATTTTCTATTTAAATGGCACAATCACCAATATGTAACCGGTTGTTGATATTTTTATAAAATTGAGATGGAATCTCTTTTGCCTACTTTTCGGTATTCTTTGTTGAATTAATGGGTTTTTAGATGCTTTCAGATTCTGATATTCTTATACAAAAGGAATTTTAAAAGGGTTTTATTTTTGGGCATTCTCAACTAAATGGAATTACGATGGTTACGGTTCGTGTTTGCACGTTACTATTGGATTGAAATGGGGCTTTTGCTACGTCAACAACCTACTGAAAAATATTTTCAATAAGGACTATTTAGTTCAAATTTTGTGCCACATATCTCATAACATCACCCTTACAAACTTGGTAACACCATAAAAAAAATATGAAAAGACGTTATGAATTATGTCTCAAACATTGTACATTTAACAACTTACAAAAAATTAAAAAAAAGGCATACAAATGGCAACTTCATTATATTTGATTTGCATAATTTGCATGTTCATTGGGTATTTGAAATTGGAACGTTTATTTGTTCGATTAGACTAATCATTAATATAGAAGGATATAATTGAAAATATAAATACTTTACAAGATTAAAATCAAATAAACACTTGAAGGGTGTCATTTTTGTATTTTTAACTTTTGGTGGTGCAAATGGATTTTTTTTTTTTACAAAAAATACTAGATTGAATTTGAAACAACATTTTGTTTTGGATGGTTATCTCCACCAGACTTCTGAAAATTTAAAACTCCAAATATTCGGCCAGATTGCACCAACGAATTAATAGATTATTCAATTATTAAACAAGTTGGAGGAGAACACTCTTTTGGGTTGATTTCTCCCGCCGCCAAATTGATCGATCCTTGTTTGTCAAAGTAGTTTGAGTTTAGAGCATTTTCTTGTCATGAATTGACAGCGCCTAGTGTAGTTTTATCTTTATTTCCACTTTTTTTAATGAGGCTTCGATATGTAGAAGGGAAGAAGGTTGAGAGATTGGGTGGACGACGAGTTGATAATCAATGCCGATGGGGAAAAAAACTTGTTCATTGAAGCCTAAGTAAAGATTCAACTGGTGCTAAGCAGAGTTTGCTCTGTCAGAAAAAAGGATAGCGGTCGCCGGCAAATCTCATCGGTTGTGGTCATCTTAGGATCTCCCAGGAAAATGATTTTTATAACGCAATGGTATAGCTCTTGAATTAATTCTGAGATAAAATGCCGTTGTCCTTGCTATAGGGTTCAGGAGCAAGGTGGTGAAACAATTCTTCCTTTCAGTGGTGCTTTTTTGCGAGGGATTTAGAGGTTAGTTAAGTTAACACTAGACTGATATAGGATTCTAAAATCTTGAGCTTATATTGATGAGCTTTAGTTAAAATCTTACAAATTTTTTCTAGTTCAGAAAGAGAGCGATGTTAGTTTATTATGAGAGAGTTTTTGCGGTAGAAAATAAATATTGGAAACATTAAGCAAAACTAATAGATCACAATACATGTTCAAATCGACGAAAATCATTACTCTTATTTAGAGAATTAAAGTTAATTGTATCTCTAAAATATTGACGATTAGTTGATAGTGAATTATTTTCTTATTCTTTTTCTCTAGGTAAGTTGTCCGGAATGTTTGAAGTTTGGAGTTCTTTCCGAATTTTCATTGAATTCAACTCCCATTCTCAGAGCTTCATTACTCTAAGGCTTTAGATCTTAATGGTTTTGTGACAACTTATTTCCAAATTTTCATTGAATTCAACTCCCATTAATTCTCAAAGCTTCATTACTCTTTACATGGTTTGTTAAATGGCTTTACGGATTTTCCCGAAAACTTAATTAAAACAAGGCTAAGTCACTGATTCTCTTTGCAAAAAAATGCAGAAAATCAGTCTTGACTTCCCTTGTTGACAGGCCTATTTCTCCAATCTCATGAACTCCTTTCCAGGATCGACTGTCTGGACAAGGGAATCAGATACCTGAATTACCAGGGTTGGAATATGTTAGGTACATGTCAGCTTCGTCAACAAAATACCCGACTACGAATGTTCTTTCCCGTCCGACAAGAACTTTTAGTGCCTGAATTAGAAGAGGGAGCATTTGTAGGAGATTTATAAAGAATGCGACGACGGGCCGAATTAAATCGACGAGGCGCCTTTTTAGCAGGGGAATCAAGTGTCATGGGGACAGAAACTAAGTATGGACTAAGGAGGGGTGACGGGGAGGATTGCATTACAGTTGACAGAGGTAGTGGGGAATTGGTTTGTGGCGGAATTGATGAAACGTGGTCAATTGAACTGAGAGGAGGATCAACTGCATGGGAATTTAGGATTGGAGAGGGGAACTGTTCAGTGGGGAATGCTTGAGTAGTAACTTGAAAGGAGGGAAAGGAGTTCGACTTGGGATGGTCGAGAAGAGAGCCTGGCAGAATTCGTGTCTTAGATGATTGCAAAGAAGAATTACGATGCTTGGTATATAAGTTTGGGGAGGTGACTATAGTTGTAGAAGAACGTGAGGGCAGAAACTGGGGATTGTGATTCTGTGGTATCGGTCGGAATTTCATGAGCTAGGATTACCTCTGGCTATGAGGGAGCTAGGGTTTCAACTGGAGGAAGATGATGAGTAACGGGCGAAGTTTGTGTGGCCGGGTAATCCATGATGGCGGTTTGAGAAGAAGGGATTAATGGAAGCTGATTGACATAGGGAGTAACTAATGAAGTTGGTAATTCAGAGGGGGAGATTACAGGACATGGAGATTAAGAGGGAGAAGGAGAGGTTAGAGTTATAGGGTTTTGAGTTTTAGGAACGTGGGAAGGTGGAGAATGAGATGTGGCATAGGTAGTTACATAATGGGGCCGGCGTTCATGGTAAGGGTTTGGCTCTTCGTCCGAATCATCCGGAACGTGGAAGGGATCAGGTACCTGAGCTGGAAGGCGTGACACAAACGGATTCCAGTAACCCGTCGCTTTGAGCCAATTGACGTATTGCGGTGACGCCGAGGAAGATCCGGCACCGAGAGAATGGGCTGGACAACCACTCTCAATATGACCGATAATACCACAGTGATAACAGAATTCTGGAAGTCGCTCATATTTCAAATGAATTGTGATTTCTTTACCGTCATGTTCAAATCGAAGGATTCTCATCAAAGGAAGCTTAATGTTGATATTGACCTTAATCCGAAGAAAACGACCAATACAATTTCAATCCCCATCACGAAAAACATCCAGGAATTGACCAATGTGATTTCCTGCAAACCTTGCTAAATCCTCATTCATCAAATCTATAGGACAGTGATGAAGTTGAATCCACCAAGGGCACGAATTGAAATCCGCCTGCAAATCGTCGGAAGGCTTAAGAACCAAAAGATGCTTGCGTCCCGATAACCAAGGTTCTCCGTGCAAAACTCGCGACCTATCCATACGATCGTTGAATTTGAAGTGAACTAAGTTGTCCCCCACAGGTCGAACTGTAAAACCATGGTGAATTGACCAAATATTCCATTAGTGAGTACCAATAGAATCGTGAGACACCACACGAGGGCAATGAAGTTTTCGGATAAGTGAAAGGAGAGGTCAACTCGTGTGATACTCAACGAACTAGTCGAATGCCGGACAGATTCTTTCTCCCTCAAGGATAAGCGACCAATAATGTCTTCCAAATCCTCTTCTGTGGCCATCAATTCGAGTCAGATAGAAGGTTAACCGCAGGTAGGCAAAGGATATGGATAGTTTGTTAATGCGAAGTATACTGCACAAATAAGATCTGTAAAATAAACAAGCAATTTTAAGAGATTAGGAAAGGAAATAGTGAAAAGCTATTCAAGCCCAGACAAAAGAAGAATACTAGACAAACAGACTCTAGAAAAGAATTATTGAACAAAGAAAACCCAAAATAAAAGTATTTGGAATGATGAGAGAAAGCAGAAATAATTAACAGAAGAAAGAAAGTAGAAATAGAGATTAAAGAGAAAATGGAAACGGGAAGTAAGGGAATAATCAATCCATGGAACATGCTTCCACGAAGGACTCTTGAAGAAACCTAACTCTCCGAGAAAACTCCCAAGGAGAGAGCTCTAGACCTTTTTTGTGGAGTTCTGCGAGGATCTAAACCCCTCACACCAAAGCAAAGGTTTAAAATGTCTGGTTGATCGATTGTAAATCTTTTCCTCGTTAAATTAGGGCCATTCCGCTGTTCCGTTCGGTTTTCTAGTCGTATTTTACATATGAATTCTTAGCGGAGGAGTTATTTGATGCATGCGATGTTCAACGGAATTAGGGTCAAAAAACACTTTTTTATGGATTAAATTACTTATTTTCTTAACTTTTTTTTTCCAGTGGGGCCTTATTTTGATTTGATTTTGTTTAGTTTAATCAAATGGGAGGCACCGCGACGCCGGTTGAACTCGATGGATCTAATCAATTGCGTAGTGATCTTTCCACCGTCGACGGAGCTCAGATTACCAATGAAGATCAAGTTTGTTTCTGTGTTTTTTTTCGGGTCTGGGAGAGCGTTAATTTTTCTTTTCCGTTTGATGTATTTATTTTTTATTTGTTTTAATTGTAATGGTGGAATTTTCAGTATGGTTATGCACACCCCAGGGAAGGCAAGGAACCCATAATTGCTGATTTGCTCTACGGACCTGCAGATTGGCGCGAGAAGATGACTGAAACACTCAAGAAATACCAGAAGAAGGTAATCTCTGGATCCTTTATATCTTACTTCTCCAAATTAGGGTTTTTTTTTTTCGGTTTCCAAGTGAAAGCATTTTTAAATTGATTTTTTTTCACCTCTTGTCTTAGTTTGATCTAATTACGTTTATCTTACTTAATGTGAAGGGGATTAATATTAAATTTGGGTCTGCATTCAGTTCACCTGACTTAGGGGATAGGGATGACAAGGTTATCGATGATAGTATCCTTATTACTTTGTAAGTATTCTTTTTGCATTTCGCCTCATTTATTTATTCGTAGTATTGGATTGAGAATGCAGTCAACTGGGATCCCCATATTAGCTTTTGTTTTCAAAGACGGGATTGTTGTAGCTGTCAACTCGTTCACCTGCTCCTAAACCAAGTGAGCAGTTTTACTCTTTTTGTATTTATTTTGTGTTGAAATTTATTTGATGAAGTCTCTTAACACCTGGTCCTTTTAAATTTTTTTACCTTCTCAGAGGAGTTACCCAAGCGATTTGAGGACATTACTCGTCTTGATCCGGACTTGCTTGAATTCCTTCCCGAAGAGACACTAGCTGTGGCTAGAGATTTTCAAGAGAAAGTATTTATTACTTTTCCCTTTAGCCTTAAATGTATTATGTCGCTTACTATTATATCTGCGTTTCCTTAACGGTTTAGCTGCAATCTAGGAAAAACTGGGTCTGCGTCTTTTAAACTGAGGAAAACTTTAAAATATGAAGCTGGAATATCTGACCTTAGTTTGGCTGGAAGATTTGATTAGGTTTTATTGTGTATGCCAAAGCTCTCTACATGATGGTACCGACGGGAGAAGCACAGCTGCAGCAGCATCATCACCGCTGAAGAGCAACACACTTTATTTTCGCAATAAGGAGGATTTATCAGGAACACTGTTCCTCAGCTAGAACTCCGACAAAGAGGTATTGTTGCTTTCTCATTCTTTTGGGCGTAGTTGCAAGGATTCTTGTTAAACCCTTTGTACTGGTCACGTAGGTTCTCGAACTGTTTGGTGTGGATCTCAAGGGGAAATTTCATAAAGATGAAAACAAAATGGCCTTTGGACCCGGATCAGATTATGCTTACGCCAAGTTGCGTATTGGGTATGCCTACTCTTCCTCGTTCTCATTTATTAGGTGATACGATTCCTTAAAAAATTGTTAAATTTTTATTCATCCTGATTTTTCTTTTTGGTCTTTTTTCTGTTTTTGTTTTTATAGTTATGCTTCTCCCTCTACGTGCTACGGTGAAGCTATGGATTTGGCCGCCAATGCGATATGCTTTGGTGCATTAGCTGGTAGGGTAAGTCGTGGTTTGTTTAGTGGTAAGTTAGTACTTGAAGATGAGTATGTCAATCTTCTTTCTGTTCTGTTATTTTTTTTTTGTTTTGAAAGTTTTTTAATTTTTCTGACGATGAGGATCTATCATTTCCCGTTCGAAAGTTTACTATGTAGGACGTGATGCAAAGTGGGAACTGGTCGACGAAGGAAAAGGTGTTGGAACCGACTTGTAAGAATGGGCCTGCAGAACACAGGCGCCATACCAAAATGCAGTGGCATTTTAAGGACGTGATCTGCTTTCACAAAATTGGGTACATTTTGGATTTTGATACTCCATCCGTCCCATAAAAATAATTCACATTGAGTTTTCAAATTTGTACTAAAATTAGTACAAATCTCAAAACTCAATATGGACTATTTTTATGAGACGGAGGTAGTAAAAAATATTGGAGTAGAAGGGTTCCATAGTATACAATCTACTTTTGATTGTCTCTTAATTTGTGTTTGCCATCTTTTAACAATTTTTGGAATTTGTAAACAATATTTTCTTTGAGTATTGATTACTTTTTGTCTCTGCTCATTTCAATCGGCCTGAGATCCATACAACAATCATTTTGCCAATTGTGTAGCCAGAAATCCAAATAAATCACTAAGATTCTGTACAGACCGACAAAACTTTCATTCACAAAGGGCAAATATTCATGTGTAAAGAAACCATGTAAAGTAGTTCACAAGGTTCAATCAAACTGTGTTATACGGTAAACAAACAGGAAGACAAGAGTAACCAAAATCAATTCAGAGCTTATTATAAGTTTTTCTTTTAAACTACATCAAAAAACATACTCCCTCTATCTCCAATATTATCTCTAGTTTGGATTTTCACTTTGGGTTCAATTTGTGTTAAACATGAAAATCCAAACTGGACAATAATTTCGGGATGGAGGGAGTACAATGAAGTTGCAGGTAACGAAACATACATGTTACAAAAATCATAATCCTATTGAATGATTTCCTGATGCTACGGTGGTAGAACAAGATTCAGGCGGAACAGGACGAGTTAAGAAGGAAGAACAGGGATACTCTGTTCGTTCCTAAAGAAATTTTGGGGATCAACTGCGGTCTTCACTTTCACCAGTCTATCAAAGTTGCCCTTGAAGTACTTCACTCCATATACTTGTCCTTCACTGTAACTGTTGGGTCCATTATCATTTGTACCAATATCAAGATCCCTGTAATTCAGAAAAGCCTGTCTGGGATTGCTTGATACATACGGAGTCATAAAGGTGTACAAATCTCTTGCTTCCTGAAGATACTGAGTAGTCAGATTAGGATCAGCGCTGTCCCAGTTCACAGAGTACTGAATCTTGTAAAGAACCCCTGTCCGATGGGGAAACGGCGCATCGCTCTCGGCGATTTGGCTCATTTTTCCACCATAAGGATTGAAAACAAGTCCTACTTTTCCAAGCTGAACCATTTTGTTGAAGATTGCAGTGAATCCGTCCTTGGGAATAGGGGTTACGACATAATCCGATTTCCTCTTCAGGAAATTGACAGAATCAGGGGTTCTGCTCAGCAAAGCTTCTGGTGTTGGTGAACTCTTTTTGAAATTTGCCCAGAACACCATTGACTGGATCCAACTCATTTGCTGACAGTCACTTGACTTCAATCCCAATTCAGGGAACTGAGAATTCATTAGGGTCATGAGACTGTTTGAATTTCCCTGATACAGAGCATTGAATGTCAATCGGATGGCTTTCTTTCCGCTGACGGTAACTGGCTGGACAAGGACCCTGATGAACAGATTGTTGTCAATGGTGGCAGCAATACTTTGCCATTTTACCAGAATGTTTGTCGCATTCTGTGCTTCAGTCCTTTGGATGCTAAAAACAGTGACAATTGATGGAACTGGAACTAAATTGATCTTATAGGCCAATACAACTCCAAAACTTGCTCCACCGCCACCCCTAATAGCCCAAAACACATCTTCCCCCATCCCTTTTCTATCCAAAACATTGCCATTAACATCAATGATCTGTGCATCGACAACATTATCAACCGTTAGGCCGAATTTGCGCAACAATGGACCGTAACCCCCACCACTGATGTGTCCACCAACACCAACGGTTGGGCAAACACCAGCAGGATATCCAAAAACATTGCTCTTTTGCCAAATTCTATAGTACACTTCACCTAGTGTAGCCCCTGCTTGTACCCAAGCGGTTTGGCTCGGAATATCGACACTGATGTTCCTGAGATTGAACATGTCCAGAACAACAAAAGGGTTGGCCGAAACATATGAAATTCCTTCGTAATCGTGCCCGCCACTCCGGATTTTCAGTTGCAGCCCTGACCCTTTGGTACAAATGATGGCTGCTTGGGCTTGTTGAACCAGTAAGGGTGTGACAATTATGGATGGTTTTTTGGTGCTTGAAGTGTTGAATCTTTGGTTCCGGACATATGCATTTAGAACAGAACTAAATGAAGTGTTTGTGGGACTGTAGAGAATTTGGGATATTTGGTTACTTGGGACTCCATTTTTGGTGAGACAATTGGCAAAACTGTCAAATGTGGAATCTGAAGATGCAGAGAAGGGAAGTGAACCGAATATGCAAGGGACAAGGAAAAGAGAAATGCAGAAAGCTAAGAAGTTCTTCATTGTACAAGTTTTGGAGATCCTAAACATAGCAGGGAAATGCACAGAAGTATTGACCAAACGAGGAGGAATTTATAGTGGCAGAGTAAAGTCCAAAATAGCAACATGAAGTGGGAATAGAATAAAGGAAGAAATTTCCAAATTGGCTTTTTAAAATGGAAGTTTGATTATTTTGACTGAAATATGTTGTCATTGTAAAAGAAGTTGGCACTAGGAATGGATGTTTCCACGAAAAACAAAGTCAAACATAGATTATCTTCATGAAGTCCATAGTTGAGTTTGTTAAGTAATAGGCATTACCTATATTTTCAACTATAATCAAAGAATAGCTTATGGAATAACAGGATAAGGCTCATTTGTCAATTGACAGCTTTTTTTTTTTTTTTTTTCTGAGATTTCTATAGAGGAGGAGCTGAGAATTTCTTTTAATCTCCTTGATGTGTATCCGCTGATCACAAATAAGTCGGTACGCAAAGTCAATCAAATTTTGATGACCGTGTTTGAAATCTCTAACACAGCATAAACTTTAGCATTAATGATAATGATGTCGTTTCACTAATGAGACAACAGAAGAGCACACAATTAAAAAAAATAAATAAACTAGTTTTATTTAGGGAAGTTGTTACTTTCTCAATCCCTGTACTGTTGAAAGAGTGTACTGAAGCTTGTTTAATTAAGGTTAGATTAGCTTGCCAAATTGTTTAATGTAATTTTACTTATGGATAAAAGCTTTACTTCACATTTCTTAAGCACATAATGACTAGTGGTACTGTTACAACGCGCAAAAAACGTACGCCATTTGAAGAAGTCAGAATAGTGGTTAACTAGGCCAGACGGGAATGAACTTACTCAACAATAACTTTTTCAAATGTGTGGATATTTTGTTGCTTCATCTAATGTGTTGATAATGACATTTAGATCTTCTTCCCTTTTGAAGTGCTTATAATTTGGGAAGAATATTCAACTGAAATATTTTTGCACGCGTTGTTAAGCTATAATCTCTAGTGGTCCCCCCCCCCTCCCCAATGGAAACCTCGATACATTGTAGGAATGATCTTGTGTCTTCTTCTATTCCCCATCTCAAAATTATTGCATTAATTTGAAGTTTCAGTTTTAGTTTAAATTGTACTAAAATTAAAACTGCACATTTTACAATAACTTTTCTGTGGCTGTTCTCCCTTATTAGCTTCTCAATTACCCAAGCTCTCCTCCCACCTTTTTTTTTTTTTTGGTTAATGGTTTTGATTTTCACAAGTGACCATCTTTGTACCTTTGACATTCCGACATGCTCAAAATTCTTCTAAAATTCTCTGCAACTTATTGTCTCCATGAGCAAAAGGATTTTTCGCCCTCCTTGGGGCCTTGCACAATTTCAGCCCCGTTATCCCGAAAAAATTGTTTGCGTCAAATTTTCATATCGCATAATTTGCATCATGTTCGTTTTCTTTTTGACTTTATTAAACAAGGTAGCAAATCTTCTTCTAAGTACTGATTTCCAATTTCTTGGCCCCATCTCTGATCAATATATGCGAGCGCATAAACTATCTGTGGACATCCTCTACATTCATTTAAAGAAATAGTCCGCTTTATTGTACTAAAATAATATAATAGACTGAGCTTTTATTTCTAGTCGTTTCATAATCTTTAATTGGTTGTTCCTAGGAACAGAGGCGAGTGGATGGATGTTAATCATGTGATATATATATATATATATATATATATATATATATATATCACGTGGGAAAAAAAGAACAATGATGGAGTACTCTACTCTGAGTCATCAAATATAGTTCTTCTTCATCATATAGATGTAATGCTTTGTATTTTTAATTTTCTTTGCCGGCACTCGAAACCAATATCTATCAAATCCAACGTTGTGGAAAGCTACATAATCAGTCTGAATGCCACCGTTTGACAAGTTTTGACAATAGTACTACTTATCTTCACGACCGCCGTCATACTAGATCGACTTAGGACTATCTATATCTATTCCAAAACTTTGCATTTCAGGTGGAAATATGTGATCCGACTCAGTCACATTTGAAGTGAACAAATTAAATAGTAACACAACGTATTCATTTCGTAATTAGTAAACTGCAACAACAAACGAAATTATAAACATGAAATTATCTTAAACTACTTTTCGTTCTCTTAGCTAACATGAACTTAAATAAAGACCTCAAAAGGAGGAATACATTGCTTACAGATGGGAAAAGCCATCCGTAAGCACTTGGACTACTTAACAATTCACTTATGCTATTAATATTCCTTAATGCAAGAAGACACAGACGTTTTCTTTAACAAAAAAAAAATATTCAAAACAAATGAAGAACTTGTTATTCCTCTTCCAAGAGAGATTAAGGAAAAAACATTCATCCTCCTGAAAGAAAGTATTCGTAAAAGCATATAAATTGTCTGAAGTGAAAAACAGATACAAAGAGACTGATTCCATATCATTAAGAAAACAAATGAAAATAACTAGTTCTCTAGCATAGTTCTCTCTACCTGAATGATGGACCGGCCACATGGCCATGACCCAGGGGGTGGTTCAACCCATCCCCAACCGCCTGAAAAGGAAGTTACAATTAGCAAAGGAACGCCGACCATTGGCGACTGTCATACCAAGAAGCCAAAATTCAAGGGCATCTCCCCGGTCGGTAAGGACAATCCAGCTGCACCCACGGAACGCATGGAATCTGAAGTACAACATCATGATGCACAGAATGAAAACCCCCAGGTCCAACAACAGAAACCACACCCCATGAATTTCAAGGAAAAACTGTTTAGGGGAAAGAGGCCGATTATCCAACACTTATTTGGAGCAGATGAGGTGATTGATAACCTTGAAGAAGGGGTAATCCTTAACAGGGTTGGCCCCATACCGAAGGCCTTTGTTCACCAAAGGGTGGAGGACAAGCTCGCAGCAAAGTGGAAGAATGTGATCATTGTGAAGCTAATGGGGGGAACAATCACACTTGCACAGCTGCAGTACCGCCTGGAACGAATGTGGACTAATACTAAGGGCTTTGTGATTGCCGATATGGACAGAGACTATTTCTCTGTGACTTTTGCTGACCCAGAAGACGTTCAGATGGTCCTAACCAAAGGCCCGTGGTTGATTGGCGAATCCTATCTATTTACACAACGATGGGATAACACCTTTAATGCCGAATTGCATAAGGTGAGATTTGTTACTGTTTGGGCAAGATTGCCAGGATCCCCCCTGCACTATAACAACGAGTCTTTCATTCGAAGGATTGGTCAACTGCTGGGGAAAGTTGTCCACATTGATCACTAAACGGCAGCAAAAACTAGGGGCAAATTTGCGAGGATTGCAGTTGAGGTGGATTTAACCCTACCACTATGTCCACAATTCGAATTCGAATCCACCGGAAGGCAACAAAACGTGGAATATGAAAACCTTGAACGCATATGATGTCCTGTGGCCGGGTGGGCCACTTTGCACAAAACTGTATGTTTCCCAAGCCAGCATTGGAGGTTCCGGCACAGACACAGACGGAGAAGCAAGGAACACAGCCAGAAGGTTCTGGAGTGAAGGAAATTCCACTGGAAAATAATCCGACTGGGCATAAGGGTGGTGTATTTGGCGAGTGGATGTACGCGGCCTAGTTGGGAAAACAGAGGGGACCAAATTGGACCGCTGGACAAACCAGGAATGCCTCAAGAGCTGGGATAAATGGGTCCCGGTTCACTGCACTAGGAGACTTGCCGAATGACGAGGAATCTACTGAAATTCCGGCTGCGTATCCACCTTTAACAGCAGAGAATCAAAGAAGGAAGGAATTTGTCATTTCAACTGTGGGCGTGGGCCAGAGGAGAGAAAGGCCACAAGGGAGACCAAGTAGAACAAACGCATGGAAGGAGCTGGCTTCCTTGGACCTGGACAGACAATCAAGTGACAAACAGCCCAAGGAAAAGGAGCCCAAAGAAAAGAAGCAACAAGCAGCTCAAGCAATTATGGGCCACAAAGGGGAACAACCGAAGCCCAATGAAATAACTGGGCTAGCTGAAACATCATGCAAAAATAAGAGACTCAATGAAAAGGAGAATATCAGCAGAGTACCCAGTGAGGACCGGTCAAATGACGAAAACCAAGTCTCGGGATCGGGGGACCAAAATATGGGGCGTACGGCGGCACTGACGGAGAGCTTCCCAAATGCGATGGTTATCGGCACTGGGCTGAATCCATCCAAGCACACAGCCATCTAAATTCGCCCACCACCAATTGCTGCATCGGCAAAGGAAATTGGAGCTGGGGGCGACGAATTAGAGGAAATGACAACGGAGGAGAACCATACTCAATCGGGGGAGCTAAATCCATCTCCAATTAGAAGTCACAGCTTGGGGGCAGAGATGATGGACAAAGAGGAGGTGTTCCAAATGTCCCAATCATCCAAAGGTAGCGGAATGGAGGAGGAAGGAGTTCTGGGGACTATCGTTCTCGGTACTCTCTGATTTCTTAAGGTACCAAAACATTTGTAAAATTCTTTGATTATGAATATAAAGATTTTTTGCTGGAATGTCTAGGGGGCTGCTTCTGAGCCCCTTCGACAAGCTTTTGATGATTTTGTTAGTCAATACAAGCCAGATGTTGCTGCTGTTTTTGAACCTAGGATAGGAGGATTGGATGCCGATTCTTTCATAAAAAGAAGTAAATTTGACAGGTCCTTCAGAGTGGAGGCGGTGGGTTTTACTGGTGGTATCTGGGTAATGTGGACAGAGGGGATACAAGTAGAGGTCCTAGCCTGCCACAAACAGTTTGTCCATACCAAAGTGTATAGCCCGGTGAAGGAGTTTTTTATTATCTTTGTTTATGGCAGTCCTATACCAGGACTACGAAGAGAGTTGTGGGGGGAGTTAACTGTATTATCCAGGGGTTTGAATGGGCCTTGGTTAATTGGGGGGGGAGGGGACTTCAATAGTATTCTCTTTGAATCTGAAAGTAAAGGAGGTACAAGGCGATCGGGGATAACGAGTGCATCGTTCGCCGATTGGATTAGTGAGAACCAGCTATGGGAAGTAAGAACGGATGGAGTCAAGTTTACTTGGAGGAGGGGGAGATTGCAGAGAAGGCTGGATCGTTTCTTGTGCAACGATAAATGGTAAGATGCCTTCCCTGAGGCTTGGTGTGCTCACCTGCCAAAAAGAAAATCTGACCACAATCCCTTGCTAATCAGGTGTGGGCACATGGTTGATGCAAACCAGACGCGGAGACCTTTTCGCTTCCTTGCTGCATGGCTCACACATGAAAAGTTTGACGACATGGTAAGGACAGCATGGAACAATGGTCTGGAGTATGGGCCTGCGGTTGATCTTTTTCAGCAGAATGCACAACAGTGGAACAGGGAGGTGTTCGGGAACATCTTTCAAAGGAAGCAAAGAGCCATGGGGAGGTTAATGGGCATCCAGCGAGCTAGGGAAACGTCTGAATCCCAATTCCTTGACCAACTGGAATCCGAATTACAGGCGGAATTGAATTTGATTCTCCAACAAGAGGAATCGCTGTTGATACAGAAATCGACGAGAGCTTGGAACTTGGAGGGAGACAAGAATACGACGTTTTACCACAATTACGCCAAAGGGAGGAAAAGGAGGAACAAGGTGGTGACACTGCAGGATGATGGAGGTGAATTGGTGGACGATCAGGGTAGGCTAAGGGAGATGGTTTTGTCCTTTTTCAAAACTCTGTATTCAGCCAGAATGGAACCCTTTATTCCCTATCCTGTTACAAATTGTTTCCCAGTCATAGAGCCAGAAAAATTACAGAGGTTGGGAATGGCGGTGGGTGAACCTGAAATCCTGGGGGCTTTGAAGGAGATGGCCCTTTGAAGGCACCTGGCCCAGACGGCCTACACGCTTTATTTTTCCAGAAAAAATGTGAGTTGGTTAAAGAGGTGGTATGTGGAATAGTGACTTCAATCTTAAGCGGAGAAGGGTTACATGAGGAACTGAACAAGACTAACATTGTTCTTATTCCAAAGGTGGATAATCCGACCACAATCAAGTCCTTTAGGCCAATAAGCCTATGCAACATGGTGTATAAGATTGCCACGAAACTCATCACAAACCGCCTAAAGCTGATCCTTCCTGAGTTAATTAGAAAAGCACAAACCAGCTTTGTGCAAGGAAGACATATTTCGGAGAACATATTGGTGGCCCAGGAAGCAATTCATACGATGCGAACAGTGAAAGGCAAGAAAGGGTACATGGCCATCAAAATCGACCTCGAGAAGCCATACGATATGTTGCGATGGGATTTCATTGAGTAGACATTGCAACAGGTACGCCTTCCGCCCTCAATTATAAAGGCCACTATGAGTTGTGTTTCTTCACCTGTGTAGGTTATGTGGAAAGGCATACCGTCTGAAGGCTTTAAGTCCACAAGGGGGATTTAGACAAGGGGATCCCATATCCCTGTACTTATTCGTCATGTGTGTAGAGAGACTTGCTCACACCATCAACAAGAGCATGGAGAAGGGGGAGTGGAAACCAATCAGATTCGGAAAGCGGAAACTTGGTGTTCCATGTCTCCTATTCGTGGACGACATACTCTTGTTTCTCGAGGCCACAAAATGCCAAGTGGGGATGGTCAAAAGGCTCCTTCAAGAGTTCGAACTGTCATCAGGACTGCGAGTCAGCACTCACAAGACACGGGTACACTTTTCCAGGAATATTAAGTTGCCAAGGAGGAAAGAATTGGCAGCGGAGTTGAGTTTCCCAGCAGTCCAGGACCTGGGCAAGTACTTGGGAATGCCCCTTATTCATGGGAGAGTTACTAAAGGGATGTACGCACCGGTTGTGGAAAATGCAAGGAGGAAGATTGAGGGTTGGTTGGCAGGGCATTTATCTCTGGCGGGGAGGTCAACGCTTGCGCAATCAGTAATAAGTACACTTCCCTACTTTGTGATGCAAACCAGCTCACTGCCCATGGCAATTTGCGATAAACTAGAGAAATGTTGTAGGAGCTACTGTGGAACAAGAATGGAGAGACTAAGTAAATGAGCCTGGTTCCCTGGGAGGAGGTTTGTAAACCTAAATTATTTGGTGGGCTGGGTTTCAAGAAACTAAGAGAAATAAATCAGGCTTTTTTAATGAAGCTTGGTTGGGAATTAATAAGGGGAGGGAGCTCTTTGTGGGTTGAGGTTGTGAGCTCTTTGTGGCCTGAACTTCGACAATGGCCCAGTTATAACGAAATGGTCATGTGCTTTGCCAAGCTTCAGGGGAGTGCAGAAATGTTGGACTGCCGTGACAGATGGGGCGATATGGGCCGTAGGAACTGGGAAAAAGGCAAGATTTTGGGTTGATAAATGGTGTGTGGGTCTCCCAATCCTGCGGAAAATTGCACTGGGCCAAATTCCAACTAATAAGGTCAGTTGGACGGTGGATAAATACACCGATGACAGCAGACAATGAAATTTTGCATCATTTCAGTCCTTACTACCGGCAACAGCGATATTGAAAATTGCAGCCATCATGCCACCAAATACACAACTTGGGGAGGACGCCCTCTTTTGGGGACCTGATTCGAAAGGGGATTTCTCGGTTATATCAGCGTACAGGGCAATCAGAGAAGGAGGGGAGGCAATGGTGGATAGTGACCCAGTTTGGAGGCTTCTGTGGAAGTGGGAAGGACCACAAAAAGTCAAGACTTTTTTGTGGTTGCTAGCAAAATAGAGGCTTCTGACAAACGTGGAAAGGAGAAGACGACACTTATCGGAGACGGCGCGGTGCCCAATTTGTGAAGAAGAGGAAGAAGAAGTGCTTCATGTTGCTAGAGATTGTAAGGAGGCCAAGGATTTCTGGTGCAGGTTCGTACCAACCCATCTGCAGGGAGATTTTTTTAATGGAGATTTGGATGAGTGGCTGATCGCTAATCTTCGAAATGGGGTAATTGCCTGGAAGTTGTGGGGCTGGAGGAACAACTTTGTTTTCCAACAAAAGTGAGTACCGATCCTGAGAAAGCTGGGGGAGATAAACCACACTGTGAAAGGAATTAGAGATGCCCTCCAACATAAAAAGGCCATGGGGGCACCGGTCACTAAGAATGAGCAAAGAATGCTATGTTGGAAGCCACCACGAAGAGATTCCTTCAAAGTCAACTCCGATGGATCGCTAAAGGGGGAAACTGGTGTAGCCACGGCAGGGGAGGGGGGGTAATAAGGGATAGTAATGGACAGTGGCGGGGAGGATTCACAATAAAGATAGGCTACACGTCTATCACTGGGGCAAAATTATGGGGCCTTTTCCAGGGTTTATGCCTGGCGTGGGATCTGGGGCTGAGGAGCGTTGAGGCAGAAGTAGACAATGAGTCGATTGTACACATGAGAAAGAATGCTAAGAGGCCTCCGTGCGTGCATGAAGGACTGCTGAGAGCGATTAGGGAGCTAATGCATAGAGATTGGACAGTTACTTTATCCCATATCCATAGGCAGTCTAATTTTGTTGCGGACTGTTTAGTCAACTTGGCGGAGACGAATCCAGGGAGAATCTGCCGTCTGGATTCACCTCCTCCACAAGTCCGCTATTAGTTGTATCATGACGTTGTTGGAGTTTCATACTCCAGACGTGTTGTTGTAAGAACCTGATTAATGGTTGTAATATACTCCCCCTTTTTTTATCAAAAAAAAAAAAGAGAAAACAAATGAAAATGATGATCCATCAAGTCTACTAGAAAGGACAATTATGACGGGATCAACCACGCAAAAAAAACAAATCAAGCAATGCAAAACACCAACCTCATCCTCAGTTCAATCGAATCATGTTTTTGACGGTGTTGTGAACTCGATCAGGCAGATCAGGAAAACCTTCATCTTCCTTATCTGTTCTTGGAAGGGACCAACTGTGCATCCTTTCTTCGAATTTCTTTGTTTTCAAGTCAACATAAACCTTTTTGGAATCACAATAATCCATGAGTAGTACCTGCCCAGTTGGTAGAGTGCTAGTAGCGCTATCAAGCCCTGGAGTTGGCCAAAAGAAATCTTATCCTTGACCAAAACTTGATTGGTTCCCTCCGGGCATTCTTCCAAATACCAAATCTGAATTTGATTTTCATCACGTCTCTTTGAAATACATATTAGCCACTCCTCATCTGATCCCCCTACAGCAAAATCAAGCTGAATCTCATGACGAGAACCCAAACTTTGGGCGAACATGAGAGTATAGAAAACTTCTGTACCAACTTGGAAACAACAAAGGTATTGGGCATCATCCCATGCCTCGTAATCAACAAGAGAGTATATAGTGCCATTGATACAAGGGGAAGAAGCATCTATACTTAAACCATTGGATTGAGGTGGGTCCATTGTTTTTCTCCGGGAAGAGTCCGACCCAATCGTATAAATTGAAGTTTCAGTCCATCAGATCCAAAACAAGTAGACAACATTTTGTAGTCCCCCCACTGATTGGATCAAACCCTATATCAAATCAACCAATTTCAACATCCGGAAGAGGCAGAATTTGACGAGAAGTAATGTTTAAAACTACGGCATAGTCTTCATCATCGTATAAACATACCAAGCCCAGCATAGGTGCTGAAACCGTAAGGATCTCGTAGGGTTTATCGAGTTTGAGCTTCATTGGAGGCGATAACCGCCTTCCTTGGTCATGATCTTCGAAAGTAATTGTAACCTCATCTTTGCGGCTCCAACTCGTCCAAAATTTAACTAACCAATTGCCTGCCCGCCGGGATCGGGACTTTTTATGGTGCTTTTTGATGAAAAAAGGATCGGAAATTGTGGAGTTCCATAGTTTGGAAACGCAACTGAAAGGAAGGAGAGATTGGGCCGGAAGTCTTGCGAGCACTACAATGATTAACTCACGCGGGGTTTATGTTGGCTCTGTTGATGTCAGTATGATAATCTGCTTCCGTTTCCTTACCATCGATTCGTTCTCAGAGGATTTTGTTTTGTCGTCTACTTCCATCGTTGTGCTGCCGCCGCCGTTAATAAATATGAATTTGATTTGTTTGACTCGGCCCACCTTCGTAACTGAACTCTATCCGGAAAGTAATTAAGCCCGTGTCAAAATTATAGGAAAAACTTGGTTAAAGTCAAAGGACGGTTGAATTGGTCAAATTAATAAAACGGGTACACTTTAGCATATTTTTAATGAAGGATGGTAATTTATTTGTTTAATTAATATTACAAAATCAAGATAATTCTATAATGACATAAATTGCCATTTTTTATTACCTTTTAAATAAAAAAAATACATAAAATCAAAATCACTCTCCTGTACTTGCGCACCATAAAAAACATGTAAGGATGGATCAAATTTGTCATAATTTCGGTTTTCTGAAAAAAACAATTGGAGCAAGTTTTTTATTCGCCTGAAATTAGAAAGATCTCCAAGTCCGATAACTTCAGAGAAAAATCTTCTGCCACCTGTCAATATTTGAAGTCCAGATCTTTTAATTTTGCGAGGATGACTTCAACCGGAGAAATGAAGTTTACCGGTAGTCTGAGGGGCAAAGCAAAAGCTGCGAAGAGAGGATGATTTGTACAGGGGGTTGGCTCTGGTTCACCTGTTTACCTCGCCGTTGTTCTTGAATACCTTGCTGTTGAGAATTTGGAAATTGGAACTTGTTGGGAATGTTGCTAGCGAAATAACACAAGGAAGATGATTATTTCTAGGCATATTCAGTTGGCCGATGAGGAACTAATTGCTGGGGTCTGTCACCATCTCTAACCGATGAGGAACTAGTTGGCTTCTTGGAATGGTTCTTAATTTCAGGAAAAAAAAAATAGGCACAATAGGGTTTCATTAATTTGTCCATTCTTGTTGAAGAACATAATCTCTCAGAAGGATTTAGCCTTTAATTTTATTCTTTA